GATCTCCTGCGCTTGACCCAGTTAGCTTCACTTGTACCATTCGGTCTCTCGGCTGGAAGAACCACTGGAGCGGAGGGGAGCCTCGATTCTCTGGCATTCCGCCATCGAAGAGGGTACCCCTTAAAGCTCCTTGGCCAGGGTCCCTTCGCCGGGCCCCCGGGGGGGGGGTTTACAAGCCTGCTCGCCCCCTCCTTCCGCCAGAGCACAGAGACACCCCTGGGAGGTCTAGGAGGTGAGTCCGTGAGTGTGCCGCCATTAACCGGAAGACCCTCTCGAGCAGTTTTCTCAGCCCCACCTACCTCACAGGGTGTCTGTTGTGGGGAGAAGAAGGGAAGATTATTGTAAGCCACTCTGAGTCTCCAATCTCCTCCTCTTCCTCTTCTACTTCCTCTTTCCTCCTCTTCTTCTTCTTCGTTTATGTTCTCCAGTCAGTTATATATTACTGTGTTCAGCACTAAGTTTGATAGTACTTTTCCTATGCAAGAAAGTTTCCTGAGGATTAGGATGGAGACTGGGTCCTAGTATAAAGAGGTTCAGTGACACTTTAAAGACTAACAAAATTTATTCCAGGCTAGGCTTTTGTGAGTCAGATGCAGAACTCATGAAAGTGTACGCTGGAATAAATTATGTTAGTACTTAAAGTGTCACTGGACTTCTACTTTATTTTGTTGTAGTAGTCTAACATGACTACCCCATGGCAATACTATTAATAATTTCTAAAGTCATAATCCTAAACACATTCACATGGAATTCAGTGGTACTTTTGGAATAACTTTATCTGACTACCATATGACAAATTTTATAATGTACCTCATTTCAATATTGTTACCTATCTTACATATGTAGTGTTTACTGTCATTGGGTGCGTTCAGACGGGGGCTTTACATCGGTATAGGTGCCGGTTGCAATCGGTGTACTCACCGGCATTCAGACGGGGAACATCTGCCTCCTGTCCCTAACCGGTGTAAAGCCCTTTACACCGTTGCACTCTGCCACTAGGTCCCAAGTGGTAGTATCCTGAGTGCAATGGTTGTAAACGCTGTACCTCGCCGTCTGATCGCTCTCCACCGTTGCACAGCTACTTCCGTTCGGAAGCCTCAGGCTTCCGATTTTCGCCCACCATTTTTTTTAAAGGACGGCGATATGCGCTTGGGAGAAGCTTCGCCCTGCCGTTTGTATTTTTTAAAAAAGAAAAGGGCCTTACTGTAGCGTTTCGGAGGCGTCCGGAACCTCCGGGAGGCTACTGTGCTCTTTAAACTTTAAAGGTAAGTCCTTACCTTTAAAGTTTAAATGTAATGGGGGGGGGGGGGGGAGCATGTGCAAAGATCGCCATTCTGTGAATGGCTGCCTATGCGCATGCTCAAACTGTGTTTTTTTAAAAAACGCCGACGCCCGCAGCGCGTGAGCGGGCATACACCGATGGGATCTGCAAAATGGAGGTAAGTGTGATCGCGTTTATGCCGGCATAAACTGCACCGGTTCCAACCGGTGCAGTTTATGCCGGCAGAAAGGCCCCGTCTGAACGCACCCATTTTGTTTAAACCCTTGGTTGAAGAGGGAAGAGATTGAAATGCTGTTTCAGTCAGCTTGAAGTCCCTGTATACTCATTTTCCCATTCATGTGATTGAAAGGTATCCTTTTAGCTCGTATTTTAGAACTAATAAACTATGTTTCTATCAGTTTGTTGCCATTCTCAGATATTTTTTTCAGCTGCATCACTGCTTTACTCCTGTAACCTGATTTTGCATTATATTTTTAGATATTAATTAATAAGAACATAAGAGAACGTAAGAGAAGCCAATGTTGGATCAGGCCAATGGCTCATCCAGTCCAACACTCTGTCACACAGTGGCCAAAAATACCAGGTGCCATCAGGAGGTCCAGCAGTGGGGCCAGGACACTAGGAGCCCTCCCACTGTTGCCCCCCAGCACCAAATCAGCTGTTTTCCCATTCAAAACCTTTGTAAAGTTTTGGGCTACCAAGTACACATTATAAAATGTTTTTCATGAATAATAAATCTTGTAATCCTTATAATTTGTATTATCTACTCTTATGTGCTATAGGAGTAGATCCAGTTGCAGATCACGCTCTAGTCAGAAGGAGAGGCACCGCTCCAGAACTCCAACCAAAAAGCGTTCAAAATCTAAAGATCGACGAAGGTCCAGAAGCCGTTCCCGTTCTCGGTGAGGTTCCTCTAGTTATGCTATTGTTGTAGTCTCTGTTAGGCACTGAGTGATGTAAGATAGCTCCTGAGCAGGATAAAGACTAGAATTGTGGTTGGTGTGTAATCCGGGCAGACTCCCCCTCCCCCCCGCCCTTTCTTGAAAAAAATAGATCTTGCTTCAAGTCAGGGTAGTAATTTTAAAGGTTCCTTTCCTTTGGTGCTTGGTTAGATTGTAGTAGATGCTGGACAAGTTAACAGATTTACAAATGCTTTCTGTTCACAGTGAAAAGAAGAAAGAAAGCAAAGAGAGAATCAGAGAAAAAGAAAAGATCAGAGAAAGAGACCGAGATAAGGACAAAGAGAAGGATCGGGAGAGGGACAAAGACAAAGAAAGGAGCAGAGACAAAGACAGGGGCAGAGATCGAGAACGAGACAAGGAAAAGACCAAGGACAGAGACAAGGACCGTGCAAAAGAGAAAGAGAAGGACAGAGAGAAGGAAAAGGGCAGGGATAGAGAGAAGGAACGGGAAAAAGACAAGGAGAAAGCTTTAGCCCCAGAAAAAGACAAGGTGGAGGAGCTGGAAAAAGAAGGTGGAAAAGACAAAGAGAGGGAGACAGAGAAAGAGGGAGACAAGGAGAAAGATGCCAGTGAAAAAGCAAAGGAAAAAGAGGAGGAAAAAGGAAAGAATCAGGAGAAAGACAAAGATGGAGGGAAAATCAATGAAAAAGAGAAGGAGAAGGAAAAGGAAAAAAAAGAGAGAAAAGACTGGCAACTTGCAATAGAAGCGATGGAAAGAGATAGAGAAGAAAGAAGAAAGAAGGAGAAGAGATCAAGGACCCCTCCCAGAAGCTACAGTTCATCAAGAAAGTCACGTAGTTCCAGCAGGTCTGACTTTTGTCCCTCTAATTTAATGTTTCATTCCCTAGATTGGTTGATTTTATTTCTGAAAGTTATGTATCATTTTTCTGTTTTTGTTGGTTTGGTTTGTTTTTAAAATGGGGTAGCCTTTTGCCTTCTGATAGTGGTCACATAATCAAAAAAAAATGTAACAGTGATTGGAGAAAGTTGCATGGAATTCTGCTGTGCTCACCAGCCTCGTTTTTTCAGGAGAGGCGCAGGCAGACTGCCAGGCCAGTTCAGGCGTGATGGCAGCCTCCATCCAGCTCCTTCAGGAGGCCCAGGCTGTTGTACAGGCTGTTTGTGTGAGCCAGCCCTCATGGTTTCAAGCCAGGAGCCCCTATAAAATTGTTTTGGGACATATCGCCATCTCAGAGGTCACAGGGGACATATGGGCTCAACCTAATGACTCAGGTTTACCGAGAGAGAAAGAAGTCAGAGACTCAGTGTTTCTGGAGAACAAAGCTGCAGCTTTCATTGATTACAAAAATAACTCTAGTATGCCAGTGCATGCACATTTTTACTCACTCAGTGGATGGCCAAGCCTGGTCTTGATGCTGACCGGCCAGGAGAAACCTCTCAAGGGAGGTATCTTCCTTATCCTTCAGCTGCCTCTGATTTTATGAAGGGTATGCCCACTCACCTGAAATGGCTGGCTAAGTCTAAGGTATCGATACTGACCAGTCAGGAGAGAAGATCTCTTGGGGGATGTTCTCTGCCCCACCTTAGGCATGCTGAGATTTCATAGTCCAATCTTCCTTCTCTACACCTTCACTTTCCTGTTACGGGACTCTTGTCATGTATGGTTATCTTAGCACCCATTGTTGGATAGGAATGATAGTATATTGCTCCCATCGCCTAGCATAATTTTAGTATATTGTTGCCATCACCTAACATAAGGATACTGGCTTCCTTCTGGTGTTTAGGGTAATTTGAATGTCAAGTTATTAAAAGTCATCACAGTGGTGTTCTTCACTGATGAAAAAAACATAGCAAGAATCTCTAGAAATAGCTTTTTCTTCTCTTTGGACTTGTCTCCTTTTCCAAAATGAATCCCTGGCTACACTGCTCTTGTCCGCCTCTGGTGTAACACAGTGGATGATTCAGACGTATGGTTGATGAGGCCATTGCTGTTCACTGCTTGGATCAGACAGATAGTTACAAGTGTTGTCCTTATGAAATAAATGTAATTGGGTTATGTTAATCTTTAACGTAATTTCCTTAGGGACAGACGAAAAAGGAAGAGCCGAAGTCCCTCAAAGTCTCCAAGACCTTCCAAAACCACAAAAAGGAAATCTTCACGGTCACCATCTCCAAGGAGGTAGCTATTGTTCACATATAAACCTCATTCCCAAACTGCACAGACACACAAGGTCACTGCAATATACAGGACTTCCCCTAGCTTCGTGGAACCCATCTGACTAGTGCAAATATGGTGAATATATAAAGAGAAATAGAAAACATGAGAAAACGGGGCGCTGTCCTTTTCCCTGTTCTGCTCAATTTTTATGTGAGACCCATTTGGTGAAATCGTCCATTGCTTTGGAGTCGGGTGTCATCACACCCAGCTGTCTTAGTTCTGGACCCGTGCCTGAATGGCCAGGTGAATAAGGAGGAGAACAGGCTAAAGCTGAATCCTGGTGTGGCTGTCAGAGCAGGTCCTTGAGGTCTGGGCAGCATCCAGAAACAAGAAAAGAAACAAGATAACGCATAAAGTCGGCTGGGCTGTCAAAGGTGAGGAGATGCCGGCAGGGAGGCGGAACCTGCATGGCAAGCCGCATATTTAAAAGGGGGAATGAGCAGTTGAGTGGGAGACAGTAGCAGCAGACTCTTAGGAGCCTGCACACATCTGGGAGAGAAAAGAAACAGCTGGCATCAGTGAAGCATCTCTCAGCTATCAGCTCTTGGACGAGAGGCCACTGCAGCATTAAAAGCCTTGGGAAGGGAAAGAAAAGCCTGCCCCTGGTCACTTGGGGTTCATCCAGAGGGGGCAAGGCAGGCACAGGCAGCTCTGGGGGTGAGGTCTAAGAGATGGCATGGGTGGGAGAGCCTGGGAAGGGATTTAAAGGGCCAGCTCCCCATCTGAGGCCACAGCACATTTGTTAACACCAGGTAAGATGGAAATCACACTGGTTCTGGAAGAAGTGGACTTGCCAGCTCTGGATAGGGTTTCTCGAGTAAGCGGGTTCTTTCAGGAGCCTGGGAGTATTTTTGGGCCTGACACTGAGAGGATAAACAAAGTCAGTGCTGTTGCCTGGAGTACTTTCTCTCAGTTACAGTCGGCTTATTTAAATGTTTGTATCCCGCATTTTATCTTGGTTAAAGACGGTTTACAATAATAGTTAAAACATCCTCAGCTAAAACCACAGATAAATTAACGTCCCAAATAATGCCACCTCTTGTACTCAGTCAATCTAACCATGTTAATATATACCACTGTGCTATTTATTTGCTATCAGATAACAGGCACACTTTATTTATAGTCTGCAGTTCTCAATGATACTCAAATGTAAACCTATGCAATAGGAACATATAACATAAACAGTGTAATAAGGTTGGATTGCAGAATTAGAAAAATTGCAGTTAAAATGGTATACAAAAAACTGGATTACAGAAGTTAGAAAACAATGCAGTAAAAACAAGATAATGCATAAAATAAACAGTGCCTTAAGCTACCCTTGTCCAGTTCCAGAGAAAAATAGTTTGACTAGAGCTCAGTATAGTGCAGAAACAGCAGAATGCTAAATTTCTAGTTTCTGAGAAAACACTAAGCCATTTTCTCTAATCCAAAAAGCAGTTGCATCTCTTTGATAAAAGTGAAGGCTTTAGGAAATTGTTTCTTTTGTACTTGCTTAAATGATTTTCCCTATTCTTTCTACAGATGTTTTGAATATAGAGGTTGTTTGGAAGTGCATTCTGAGTTGAAAGGCCTGAGAGTAGAAATGTAAAATTTTTGGAAATTTTGTAGAGGGATGTGTGTAGGAAAAATGGAAATTGGAGGGGAGGGAATAGAAATATGATACTTTCCTATCAGGTTTAAACTTATTTAGCTGCTTTAACAACATAAAACATTTATCACTTTATTAGCATATAACATTGTACTAATTGGCATATTTATGTAATTTAAAAGTAAGTATGTTGGTTTTCTGCAAGCCGAATTGCAAATACACCCAATAGAAAAGCTGCAAACTACTATACCTCAAGCTACCTTATAAAATGTATCTTAATTGTTTGCCAACTGAGAGGTAGGAAAAAACAAAAGTGTATATTAGAAAACAACAAACTTTGTTGTAAACCAAAGAAGCCACTAGCATATTTGAGTGCAGAGTGAAAGTTTATAACATTGAAAACAATGAAATCTTTAATAATGTATTACTGTCAAACATTAGAGTGTATTAATTTTTGTCAAAATCAAATTTAGTCAGTGAATATGTCTTTGAAAATATGTTGTACATGTCTGCAGTATACACAAGACTTATCATTAGGACATTCTTAAGATTGCCTTGCCTTACATAAAAATCTTGATGCTACACATTTGAAGCCTTGCCTTAAAAAGCATTTCATTAATTCCAAAATAGCAGATATTTCATAGGAATTTATTCAGTGTTTCCTCAGATTTCTCAGTTCATCCATTGTAAAGCAAATTTTAAAATGAGCAGAAGAACATGTATTATTAAGACAGCTGGAAAAATGGGGGGGTGGTCCTAGTGGGGGAAAACTTGGTTTTTATCTTGAATTTTTTGGGGTGTGTGTGGGTGGAGGGGAGGCTTCATATCTTCATGTGGGAAGTTGAGCATCATATCAATATATCAAATTCTCAGCATGGCCAAATCTGTGGGTATGTAAATTCAGAGACTGGAGCCATGAACAGACCAAGATAGGTCTTTCTACAAACCTGAAGAATGCCCCAGGTTTGCAGAAAAATGTGAAATCTTAAGGGGGGGCATTAAAAAGACCCAAAACAGTAAAAGCAGCACCTGTACCTTTAAGAAATGAATGCCTTCATTGTCCATTGTGATGCAAAGACAACAGTATTGCCAGCCTTCAAGCCTTGGTTTCGATCAATAACAGGCAGTGGAGGGGACAGGGCTGTTTTGGCCTTTGAGTGAGGACATCTCAGGGCCAGACTCGTAAGCCACCACTAGGCAACTTGCAAAAGTGGAGAAGTGGAGAATGATGTAAGCCTCTTTGGTCCCCATTGGGCAGAAAGGTGGGGTATAAATGAATTAAATAAATAAATAAAAATAAGTACCATACAACATACAGGACTGGCTACTTGCTACTTTCCAGCTCCGGCCACCCCAAAAAAGCCAGTGTGGTATAGTTGTTAACAGTTTCAGACATGGATCTGGGAGACTGAGGTTTGAAATGCCGGGCCACTGTGGAATCTCACTGAGTGACCTTGGGTCATTTACACATTCTTAGCCTAACTTGCCTCCCATGGTAAAATGGAGGGGGTAAGCTGCTTTGGGTCTCCATTGTGGAGAAAAGTTAAATTAAGAAAATAAATGTAGCTGAATATTGGGGGCAGATAAAAGGTAGGTTGATTGGTAGGAGAAAGGGAGCAGAGAAGGGTGAGACTATGGGGGCTCACAGGAAGAGCAAAAGAGGAAATAATGTGAGGAAGTGATACAGGGGGAAAAAGAGGTGCTCTCTGCAAATCCTTGTGGGTTCCACACAGCATGACTGGGTCCAGCTCAGTGGCTGGCACCACACAACTGGGTCACAGTTTTCCCAGGTAAAAGCTGCTGGGGGAAGGAAGGAGGGAAAGCAGGTCCCCTGCTTATCTGGTACTAATCTGCAGTGCTGGCGTTATCTTTCCCTTTTGAATTTATATTATCATATGTGTCTGTCTGTTAAACAGTGGAGAAAACTGCTGGGGTAAACATGGGTGACATAAAACCGTTAGTATATTTTAAAATTAGTTTCCGCAAACATACTCTAGGAGTAATCAAAAGATGACCACCATTACTTGTACATGGGAATTTAGGTACTTTGGTCCTCATCTGAGTATCTTAAATAGCACATATAATTGTCATCACAGTTATTCTGTTTTTCCAACCAGAAACAAGAAAGACAAAAAGAGAGAGCGAGACTCCAGTAATGACAGGAGAGAGAGGGAGCGCTCTACATCCAAGAAAAAGAGCAGCAAAGACAAAGATGGTAAAGAAAAGTCTGAGAAAACCACAACGTTGAAGGTGAGTGTGTGAGTGAGTGAGCCAGACCTCGCTGTACATAGTTCTGCTCACCAAAGATGGTGACTTGCTGTTATTCTTATGTCACAGGATGCCTTCATGGTGCTTAGTGGCTCTCTGAGAATCTTTGCCATTGCATGCAGACTGGAGAGTATTTATTTAAAACATTTTAATACAGCCTTTACATGCAACTTGGGGTTCTCGTGGTGGAAATGGTCAGAAACATTAAAACAACTTTAAAATTTAAATTTATATCTATATCTATCTTGTCTGTCTATCTTTTATGGAAGAATTCTGTATTTCAGGCTCCCATAATTTTTTGTGAGCTTATCCATCTTCAGGGTTTGTTTGTTTTACAATGCTATAGCAAAAATCATTCTGGAATTGGTGTCTGTGCCTATTTCATTCTGAAATTTTCCAGTATATAACTTGAGAGAGAGATTGCCTGTACTCTCTCTTTATACCACTGTTCTTTATATTTTGGTATAGGATAAAGATCTGAGTAAAGAGAATCAACAGTCTGAAACTGACAAAGTCGAGGAGGAGGATACAGGAGTGGCGGAAGAAGTCAAGCTACAGCAGAATGGGAACTGTCAACCGAATGAAGAAAACCTCTCAGTTAAAACAGAGGAAGTATAAGCAATTAATTGGACCTCTGACCTATCTGTGGAAGGAAATACAAAGGTTCTTCTGTCTCCCCCTCTCCTCCCTCCTCATGTCTCAAGCAAGGATAAACTGTACCGAGCAGCCCACCGGACACATTCTGTTGTGCTGCCAGTTCTTCTGGTTATTGTGTTGGGTTGGTGATCTTGAAGACAACCGAGAAGCAGCACTCACCAATAGCATACGTTGCGACAAAAGACAGTGGCCTCACACCTGATCAATTTGTAGGGATTCTTGTGTTTCTATGATGATAAGATTGGCCATCAGCTGTTACAAATAAGTGGAAGTATGTAATCTGTAGCAACCAGAAAAGCTGCCGGTGTGGATTGGAAGTTGATAAACTATTGGTAGTTCAACAAATTTTATGTTTTACTTTGTGAGTTTTTAAACTAAACTCCATGTGATCTGTTTTGATAATGTGCTTGAAAATGGTGCAGAAATACACTTGCTTCCTTTATTGTTGTAAATGACAGTGATGAAAAGTTTTAATCTAACAACACCGTTTTACAGTTATTGTGTTTATGCCCACGAAAGCTAGTGAAGATTCTTTTCTTTGTTGCTTGTGACTTTTTTCTTTTTTATATTTTAAGAAATTTCCTTACAAATAGCTCTAAAATCTTTCTCTTACTAGTAGACAGTCAATGCATGCTAATGTTCTGATTCTAGAAAGAACAGCCATGTTAATACTGGATTTCCATTCTTCCAACTATAAGCACATCTGTGTAGTAATCTCTGAACAACTGGCTTTGTTTTGAGCTGTATTGCCATGTGCTAGGCACATGCAAATAGGGCAGATACCTGTGAAGATAATAAATGTTTGCTTTCAAACTGGGATATGAGAGCACAAGCTGATGTTTTAGTGCCTTCTTTGAAACGCAGAGTACTGATTTCTGGAAATGTGTGCTTTATAATCCCATATTTGTTGAATCATTCTTGATTGTGTCTTGATAAGAATGTGAGAGGTCTGTCAGCCTTTTCGGTCCTTGGGTTGTTCAGTAATACATTGATTTGTTTCAATGGAAAAATGGCACAATGGAAATCAATGTTCAAGGGTACTCATAAGACAGGCACGATTCAGTTATTCTATAAATTGCTGTACTGTATGCCACTTCAGTATGCCAAGTCAGTGAGCTGAAGAGTTCTGAATAGTATTTAATTGTACCTGGGCTGTGGATTGCACAGAGCATCTAATGCTGCAGTCAAAAGAGGCCCTTTGTGTTTATCATCCTTTTGAACATCCCTAACATTTTTCCTTATTTCTGATACCAGTTGTGTAACATGATGGAAATGGAACAGAGTCCACTTTGCTTGTTGGGAAATAGCCCAACAGAGAACAGGACATGGGTAGCTGCAACCCCTTGCTGACCCCTCCCTTCATCTTTGGAAAAGTGGTGGCAGAAGGAAACAGGCCTTCCACTAAAACCAAGACCTATTTTGAAAACAATACAATCAAATTGCCTTACCTTGCAGGAAAGAGTTATTTCAGTTTAATAGAAAAGCAGGTAGTGTATTAATGATTTACTTTCAATTTGTGTTTTCCAAATTGCAGTTAATAATTATAGAAATATGAACATTTTTTGGTGAATGGACAAAGTTGAGTTGTAAGGCAAATAAACCCAGGTTGATTGTGACGCGGCTTTAATTGCCCCCCCCTTTTTTGTAGTCTAAAGGTGTGTCCTCCTCCTCCTCCTTTGGCCTTTATGTACATGAAAACTATAGTGAATGCTTTACCATGTAAAGTATGGACAGTCATTTTTGTGATGTTTAAGCCACGTGCAGTTGGCTGGCAAACAGCTTCTGATAATAAAGGAATGACAAATCTCATATGCTTTTGAAAGACTGCGAAAGATTGGGTCTTGGAACAGCAGCTTTCATATTTATGATGTGTAAGTAGAATAGAGCAAAGACTGTATACTTGTTATCTTTGGTACCATTTCACTAATAAAATTTAAGTATTTTAGAGGGAAGACATTTTTGGTCACTTTTTAAAGGAACGCTTGAAGGTTGATGAGTGAAGGTTTCTGTTAGGGCAGCTGGTAACACTTTTGTTCTGTATGAATGGTTTGGGTTTGCACTGAAGCACAGCAAGGTAGATTTTGAGTACTGATGGTGTTACAAGGCTCTCTGAGATAGGGTTTAAGAAGCTGTACAATCTCAGCATAAAGTAATGCTTCTCGTATCTCAGAGATTCAGAGTGTTTCACACATGTTATCCAAGGAGGGTCTCAGCAACTGCCCAGTAAGTGAGGCTAGTGTTGCTGCCGCATGGTAAATGTGGATTTGTGGCTGAAATGAGTTTTGAACTGGAACTTCACAGTTTTCAGCCCAGTAACTGAGCTCTAGGCTACATCGGCAACAAGGTGAGTGGTAAGTTTTCCAATGTAGTCTACAGTGAATGTAGTCTACAAGGAATTTTTCCCAGTTGAAAGGACTGAATTGCAGAAGAGTGTCCATGTAATCGTCTCATTCAGTGGAATTCATGTATTGAGCCCAGAACAAAACCAGAGTTCTCTTTTGAACTCTGCATACAATTTGCTCAATTTACTAAAAAAATGTAATGTGTAGATACTTCAGATTAGAAAAAAGCAATTTGCTATTTGGGTTTTTGTGGGTGTTGTGTATTCTTTTCTAACTTGCATGACTTTTTATCCTTTTTCTCAAGAAATGCATTGAACCAGACCTTTCTTTACAGTAGGACCTGCTAGAGATAAACAGGATCTACACTACAGACTAACTGTAGCCAACATCTAGCATAAGATGGAGACAGTTGGGAGATAGTGAAAATACACTGATTTATTAGGGAAAGGAAGGTATGTAAATACTTTTCAACAATTCATGTCTCAAGATATGAAATTTGGCACTGGCTGCTGTGGAGGTGGAGTGAAAGGAGATAAGTGCATCCAGTGTTTGATTGCCTAAAGGGAATAACTGGTGGTTGGTTTCCCATATGTTTTTCAGAGACATAACAAACATAAAAATTTAGAAACAATTCAAAATATTTTAGGAGAAGCACATTAAAGATCAGTATTGAGTGAGTGAGACAAAACAATTGGTGCAAGAAACATTTAGCAATATCTTCAAAGACCAAATTCAGAAGTCTTCTTACCATTTGGGGTGCAACTTTAGTTTAAGTACACTTGTGCATGTGCAAAAACAAAGGCAGTTTTTAATGTGCTTTTATCTGATTTCTGAATCAACTGATTCAGTGAAATACAACCCTTAGTTCTGGTTACACTACATATACGCTGGCTCCAGGTTTCCCTGCATTCGTTACGAGTATGCCAAAATTAAGGCAGAATAATGAGGTTACTCACAAACAAGGCAAGGGTCTCTTCCTTTGGGAATTTCCCAAGTCTGCAGAAAAATACGACATTGTAAATGAAGGGTGTGGGGAGGGAGGCATCAAAAGTGACCTGATGACTTTCAGTACTCTAGAAGGGGTATATGCTAAGAGCAGCTGAATATAAGTTAGAAAGAAGGTGGGGAAGGGGGGAAGAATTAGCCTGCTCAAGTCTTTAAGACCTTGGCCAGGGTTTTGGGGGGGATGACATGTGATTTCCAAACTGTTTCTTCCTCCTGTAAGACCTTGACTAGTTAGCCAGCTGTGGCCTAGCTATGGCATTTCCTGGGGAGAAAAGATCTGGCCACATTGATGCATGCCTTAGTTACATCTAGATCAGATTACTACAGTGTGCTCTACATGGGGTTGCCCTTAGTGTTCAGAAACTTCATTGGTAAAGAACACTGCAGGTGGGATGTTGACTGGAGTGGGTTGCAGGGACCATTTCACTCCAGTCTTGGCCCTCCTACACTGGCTCCCAGGTTGTTTCCGGGGACAATTCAAGGTGCTGGTGCTGATCTTCAAAGCCCTATGCCATTTGGGACTAGCATACCCAAAGGGACCGCCTTCTCCCTTACGAACCATCACGGTCATCTTCAGAGGCCTGCTTCAGGTGCCCCCATCTTCTGAGATTAGGCGGGTGACAACGCGGGAGACGGCCGCCTCAGTCATGGCACCAAAGCGCTGGAACTCTCCCCCAGAGAGATTGGTCTGTCTCTGTTGCTGGTGGGTAAAGACTCTCTTTTTCATTTGTCATTCCTTCAATGATTCCTCCTCGCAGCCAATTTTTAATTGTTTTTTCTATGTTTTCTATGTATTTTAACTCTGTTTTGTAAGTCGTTTTAATGATGTGAGTTGGGAGGTTGATTTTAATGGTTTTAAAATGTGATTTTTATCATGTATGTTTTAAATCCTTGGTGGCCCTTATAAGGGCAGAGAGGCAGGATATACATTTTGCAAATAAATAAATAAATATTCAATTTGATAACTTCCTTTGGGAGAAAAGAACATTGTTAGCATCTTTGCTTTACCTGAATTGCAGAAGTTCGGTTTGATCTGTGCTCATAAACTAGAGCCAAACATTGATAATAGTGATGAATGTCAGGCTCTGACCTGGATAACCCAGGTAAGCCCGATCTCAGCAGATCTCAGAAACTAAGCCGGGTCGACCCTGGCAAGTACTTGAGACCTCCAGGGAATACCAGGGCTGGGATGCCGAGGCAGGCAAGGGCAAGCCACCTCTCTGAAATGTCCAAGCCCCACCAATGTTCCCGCTAAGCTGTGGAGTCCTGTGAGCAAACATTCTACTTGTGGAGCCACTGGAATTAAAGTTGTGAGTGAGCGATTTGGCTGCTGCAGAAATCAGTTTGCTTTGGAGCCATCCTTCCTGAGCTAAGACAAAAATGTGTGAGCTGGAGGCTAGCTCACACTAACTCAGCTTAGAGGGAACACTGAGCCCCACTAGGGATTGCCAGAAATCAACCATGACTTCCAGGCACATACACACACATACAAAGAAATAGTAATGAATGTCAGGCTATTCTGAAAGAAATCACACTGAAGAACCCAAATTCCCACAATGTGCCAACTGTCTCAACAGGAGCATCAATTTCAGTTGCTCGGACTGATGTTTTGGTAAAGTTTTGACATTTTTCTGTGTAATGAAGTTGCTTACTGAGGCACAGTTGCCATAATCTAGAGGAAAATCTAGTGCTGTCTTCTGGTAGTTATTTTCTTGAATTTTAAGGTAACTCTCCTCGGAGAGCTCCTTGGTATCTGAAGAAGTCAGGCTATTGAGAGCCAGCGTGGCATAGTGGTTAAGAGTGACAGACTCTTAATCTGGAGAGCCGGGTTTGATTCCCCACTCCTCCACATGAAGCCAGCTGGGTGGACTTGGGTCAGTCACACTTCTCTCAGAGCTCTCTTGGCCTCACCTACCTCACAGAGTGTCTATCTGTTGTGGGGAGAGGAAGGGAAGGCGATTGTAAGCCACTTTGAGACTCCTTCAGGTAGTGAAAGACAGGATATAAAAACCAACTTTTAAAAAAGTGCATGCACATGGAAGCTTATACCCAGAATTAACCATTGTTGGTCTTAAAGGTGCCACCGGACTCAAACTTTGTTCTGTTACTTCAGAGCAGCACGGCTACCCACCTGAATCTCCTTGGAGACGGGCTTCCCTAGCAGATGCAGTGATTACAAGCACCACAGGCATCCTGTGGGGATGCTGAGTTTACCCAACACGTTCTAAGGAGATTTTTTTGCTGCTGCCTTCTAGAAACTAGGTGGGTTTTGTCTCTTAATAGACTGTTCAGCCGAGTAAGATTCCCAGGCTTTTCCTGGCTCCCTGCTCCAAATTACAGAGGGAAGAAGGGAAGCCTATGAAATCTTACCAGTTTAAAATTATTTCCAGTGCTGGCAGCCATTTCCTTGCCTTCTGTTTGCATATTGCTAAGCCTGGACCAAGACAGGCTTTTATTGTGGGTGCAGACAGACCACCATAGTGTTTCCACATTCATTTCCCCTGTTTGGAGAGTAAAATTGTTAAGAAACCTTAAAGTTAACAATGCACAGAGATGGCGCGATCTGCCGTGGGAAGTTAGGAGACGGCACACTGCAGTGGTGAGCCCAGAAGATTGAGAGCTGCTGCCACCTGCTGGTAAACTGGGGAAATTGTTAGTAGATTCCCCCTACTGCTCTGCATGTCCAAGAGGGGTTTGTAACTGTTAGGCCCTCTTGACTCACTAAATGTAGTACTTCAGCTTGCCAGTTGTACAAGGAAAGCACCACAATATCATATTTCAGTCTAGTAAAGCCTTGTGTCTGGCTGTGGACTCCTTCGTTCTGACTGATGTCTCCAGTAATCTAGACTCTGTTTTCCCTTTCAGCTAGGTCACAAACTCTGCTGCTGGTCATAGATCCACGTGGGCAGCCGCGCTGGTCTGAAACAGTGGAACAGATTTTGAGTCCAGCGGCACCTGAAAGCTCATACCTTGGATAAACTTTTGTTGGTCTTAAAGGTGCCACTGGACTGCCAGCGTCAGGTGCAACGCAAGAGGCCAGAGAGCAAATGTTCGATTACACCTGTGCATACTATGAGTCAAATTAGATTGTTAAAACTATGCGGAGAGACGTGAACCGTGTGTCTCCAAAGCCAGACAAGACAGAAGTGATGCTGGTCTGGAAGGGGTGATGCTTTTGGAGGAACCGGATCTCCTTGTGGCAGAGGGAACGGAGTTGGCATTTGC